AAGAAGTTTATTTCAAATTTAATTATTTTAATTCTATCCATCAATTACTAACTTATGTTATATAGAAAGAGTATAATTAGAAAGAAAAAATATAAAGTGGTAAGTGCTAATACATCAATGTTTGAATAAAAATAAGAAAAGTGTGTCTTAGGATAATAGGCAAGTCAGAATTATATAAGGCAATATTATAGGAGTCAGTTTATTAGAATGAAATATTTAAGTAAAGAAAATATCAGTATTAAAAATATTTAAAAACCCAAATAGCGTTTTTTAATATTTTTCCACCTACATTCACAGTAAGTATTCAGAGGTAAGTATGCAAGTACTGATGCTCATTATGTTAGTGTATCCCACAAGCACAAGCAGAGCATAAGCATATCACAGAATCAGATTATAGCAGAACATGCCTACTCTTTCTTACCCGAGCCTGCTGAAGAATTGCCTGAGCTTGAGCTTCTTGAGCAGAGACAACTGGTCCTTTGGAACTATCCCCACCATAACGAAACTAGGGAGAGATGACATGAAAAGCTCAAAATTATTGCTTGTCAAGCGGATTAGGTGTCTTACTCACCAGATGAAAATAATTTACTACAAATCTTATATTTTGCAAAAGCATATTGATAGCATATTGAGGCTGGTACATATATATATATTTATATATATACATATATATAAATTTTCATTTTGCACAGAGTGAAAACTCTCAAAAACAAAACTCATGATTTATAAAAAAATATTTAAAAAATTAGAAATCCCTTTATAATCCTGAATTCTATAATTTTTGAAATCTATTGTATTTTTCAGCATCTGTAAGAAAATATTAATACTATTAATTCATTTGTAAAATGTATAATTGAACTTTTGGTAGTAATTATAGATCACCATCAATTGGTTAGAACAAAACAATAATTTGTTAATAAAACTTTTGGAGTTACCATGAATATAGATAAAACTATTCCTGAGATATATACCCATATAGAATTATTATATAAACATTTTTTTACCTATTTTTCAAGTAATTCTACTATAAAAGTCATGGTCATTCTCCCTAATATTCTTCAAAAGAAAGTTTAAAGTTATCCTTTATTTTTAATTCAAAATTAAGTATATTTTTACATTCTTTTGCTTACTAAAACTTAAAATTACAATTGATTCAATGCATGTAAATTTTTCAGAGTATTATGGTAAATGGCCTTAAAAAGGTATCTTTTTGCAAAATAAGTAATCTTTTAAGCCGTGCATAATTACATTATGTTTAAATAGTTTCAAGTGTAGTAGGTTCAAGGTCCTATAGTATTCTATAAACTTCTAATATAAAACGCTTATCTGATATAATTTTTCACGGTCAGTAGGTTTCCTTTTCACCCTATTAGATAAAGTATATGATGTACAAAGGGACTTAATATTTAATAGGTCTCATTCATCAATGTTATCTTCTCCTGGTTGTGTATTTCTGGCTATATTTGCCAGTTTGTTCATGCCATAAGCCAAGACTTCTAAGTTTGGTCTCATTTTGTCTCTTATGACTCTTTTAGGCTTTATTCCCAGGTCTCTTAATCCTGAGCTAATTTTTTGTGTAAGGTGTTTCTGTGTAACAAGAGATGGGGCTTCTATCTCAGCCTTCTGCAGTTAGATGTCAGGTTTTACCAACACCATTTGTTGAAAAGGTTGTATTTCCTCCATTTGAAAGGTTTCACTTCCTTGTCAAATATCAATTGATCATAGTTATAGAAATTAATTTCTGTGTTCTCAACTCTGTACCATTGAACTACTGCTATCTTGGTACTACATCTGTATAATAAGTTTAAGATCAGAGTGCTTTGCCTCCCACTTAAATTTTTATTTTTCGGAAGAGCTTTGCTTATTCAAGGTCTCACTCCTTTTCGAATAAAGTTACCAATTGCAATTTCTATCTCTTTGAAAAATAAGTTTTTATAGGGATTGGGATTGTGTTAAACATATAGATTGTTTTGTTAGAGTTATCACTTTCTCTATATTGAGTCTTTCTATCTATAAACAGGAATTTTTTTCCACTTAATTAGCTCTCTTTTTTTTTCTTGCAGTACTGTTTTGTAGTTTTTGTTAAACAGTTCTCTTGTGTCTCCAATTAGGTTTATTCCCAAATATATATATTTGTGACTGTCTATTGTAAATGGTATTGCTTTCTTAATTTCTTTCTCTGTTTTCTTTTCTAGATCATTCAAGACTTTGTCACTTTGTCCATAGCATCTTTCAGTATTACAACCTGAGATTTTATTTTGTTAATAAATTCCCTTAATGTCAGACATGCTGATCAAGTTTTTCCCTTTTGAATTTTCTGGCTCTAGCCCTTGACATATTTTATAATTCTTTACCTTTTTTTTTTAACAACGTTCCCTTTGAAATATTCTTCTGAACTCTTTAGTTTCATTATTTCTTCCCTTTGCTTTGGCTTCTTGAAATTCTAGTACAATATTGTTAGTTCCTTCTGACATCAATTTTGTTCCTGCTCTATCTATTCTTCCTCCTTTGTCTTTGCAATGATCTTTTGCTTTCTTCATAAATGACCATGGAAAGAAGACAAGAAAAGATATGTTCAGCTCATCTGATCGCCATTCATCAGTGTTCAATGCCTCAAACATGTTCTTGATATAGCTTTTAGGTTCAGGTGGGGTATACTCATGGTCATATTTCTGTTTATGTAGAACTGCTTTAACTTTCTTTTTTGGAGGGGAAGGTGCTTAAGTCATTCACTGATGCAAATTTTTCCTCATTTCTGCTCCATTCCTTTTCCCTCAATGCACGTTGTAGTGCAATTCTTGTTCCCATTTGTTAATTGCCTTACAGATAATGCCTAATCATATTTTCCTCTCAGACAGTCATTTACTTCATCTATTAAAGTATTCATTATCTAGCAACTCTTTTCCTGTTCTCCCCAACCAACCCATGCCAATCCTATAATTGTAGTCTTTTGTAG